GCATTGCTCAACACTTGGGTTCCATAACAACTTCAGTGGTATTAATGATGCATGATGCCGATACATTTCTGTAGATCTGCTGTCTTCTTTCCACTTCCATCTGAGGATAGTTCTTTCGGTCAGGAACAAGGTCAAACCGTACATCCTGGCCAATTATCAAATAGGACCATGAGACACTGTGTGCTTGATGTTGGTCGCTCGGGGCCTCATGGACCACTGTTTGAACGCTTTGGAGTTTTAGGAACCTCCGACACTGCGCCTCCCCTTCATTAGCAGCTAGCGATGTCTCCCGAATGGCAATGCCACTGTGTATAGCATGATTTCAGGCAAAGCGTTGTGATTCAAGGGGCTCACAAGACCTGAGGTCTTGATCAGTCAATAGAACTGACCATATTCGCAATGACCCAGGTTCACAGACCCTGCAAGGACATCTTTTTCTGGCGGCGAGGCCAGAGCATGATCTTGGGAGGTGTGGGGCTAATTCTAGAGAGTTTGGAGTCTGGACTGTAGAGGACCGGTTTAGACCTCGGGAAGGAATTCAAAGTACGCTCCTCCAGACGTGCCGGCCTTACGCGCCTCTTCCCTTTTGCCCTGGAGGTCTTCCCTGGGTCAATCACCTGCTCCGGCGGTATTGTTTTGACACACCTTCTGAGGAATAAGAGTGGTGAAACACAACTCGCGTTTGGGGCCCAGAAATCGTAATATGGGAGTCTTGCAGTGCCATCCGATTCTGGTTGTTGTGAGGTCCTTATTTGGGGCTTGCACGCTCTGGCGCTTTGCAAACGCCCTTCAATCATGGTTTTGCAGGCGTGTCCCACTTTGCTCCGCCGGTCGAGCCCTCAATTCGGCATGTGGTAGTTGAGCAAGGGTGTAGAGCCCGGATTTCGCGTGTAATGTCGCAGAAAATGTCACGGGAGGCCACTGATGTTGGGCGACCTGTAGAAGCAGGGACATCAGTCTTCACCCCAGAAACAGCTCCAGTTGCAAGCAGAAAGAGCCTTCCAAGAGCCCCATGGACTTGAGTTTGTTCAGCCATCACGAAGCCCAAGCCACGCACCAGAACCGCTGAATAAACACATGCATAGCAATTGCGACATGATGCCGCTGAGCGTATGTCGGTCGATGAGTTTGGGAGGCATGCGCAGGAAGCCCTGTGCAGTCGACTCTGGAGGCCTAAGGCTTTGAAGGCCGAAGCGTCGGAAGGCGAACCTGGAATCTCGTGAAGTCACACGCGCATACCCCCACCCTCGCTTGTCCTAGATGCAGCCGCCTTCAAGTGTCAACCCAAGGCTTCGTTCCCCTACCCTCCTGCGCAAGCCTCCCAGGCACATGGTGCGCAGCGAGGCAGGCGGGTCAGCATTTGGGTTGGCCCCTAAAACCTTGGGAAAATCATTCAGAAAAAGGGTCGCCTACTAAAGCCATTAGGGAAAATTGAGATATCCCAGGGGCCTACCCGGGCATTGCTCTAGAACGTTTGTGTTGGCTTCTAGATCGTCGCATCGTTAGTCCGTTAGGCTTGATGGGGTTCAACGGGTTTTATAGCCTTCTCTGATCCGATAAGTTTGGTAGGTTCTACTAGTTAGGAATGATTCGGAGGAACCTTAGGATTTCACAACGCATTCGCACCTTGATGATGTGATTTCAAGGTGCAGCATGCTATGGGATGAAGCTGCTAGGCGTATGAAGTGAACTGTATACGTTACCAAGTCCTCAAAGCTTCAGCGGGCCTCAGAGCACAGCAGATGGCTTAAGCAAGAAGCTCGAGGCCGTTGCTTTTTGGAGGTTGCCAAAATAATCAAACTGTTTTCCAGAACCCGAGCCTCATCCAATTCCCTTGTTACTCCGGCGAAAGCTTGGCAGTTTCCAGCAGTTGGAAGCCTGCAAGAAAGGTTGACATTTTAGAAATTGATGGAAGGGTAAATCGGTTAATTATATGCAGCATCGTAGGTAGATCATTCAGAGATCTTTTTGTGGCAAACAGGTCGCAAGTTCGGATCGCAGTTAGCTGGTCTCACTATTCCGCGGTGGGTGTATAAGTGAGGGCCAGGGTGCAACCACTGAAATTGCAGAAAGTTGCATATGTGCTATTGGTCTGCCCGACCATACGTCATATTTTCCATGGCCGCGAGGTGTTTGGTGGCGACTGAGCTTTAAGGAGCAACAGGCAAGTCACAGGGACTGAGCGGAGAAAACGCATCAAAACAGGAGCTGCGCGGTTGTTGGTAGTCGTCCTAACGCAGCTGGTATGTGGTTTGGTTTGGAGGAGAAGGCAGGCTGTTTTTGAACCCTGCCACTTTTTATTCGACCCCACTGAAGCTCATTTGAAGTGCAGAGGGTCCATGGCGGGAGAATTTGCGGGGGGATGGAGTAGTGTAGGATCCTATGATTCCAAGCTCCGGTTCATGCAAAGTGCCTCATTTGCTCCATGGGTGAAGCGTGGCTGCTATGGGATGCACTCATGACGGTAGACTGGGACCTACACTGTGCACAGTTCCCGCGCGCGGCTCGCCGACAAGTTTTGATCATCAAGACATGAAGGTTCCCACAAGCCAGTCCCATAACCGGTCAGGTGTACGTTCTCAGCTCAACCGTCAATTTTCGTCTTTGTCCAAGGCCACCTACGTGACCCCCTGGCGTTAGAAAACCCTCTTCCGCAACAGCCCCAACCCAAAGAAACCTTTCACCAGCGACTTCAGATCCATGAGCTTTCAAGCTTGAACTGTGGAACCCAAGCCCCGAAGCCTAGCATCAAAAAGTGGCGCATAGTTTTAATGAGCCCATGCATGGCTGTCCGCAGAGCCCCGGCGGCGCAGAGGCTCGGGGCCAGCCTAGGTGGAAAATACCTTATGGGCATGTCCCAGAAAGAGGCTCCTCTAGTCTAGCTGCAACATGATGAAGTCCGTGTTATAAAGACGCAAAGAGGAACCCTCAGCTTCGAGAAGTCCACACAGTCCGACTGAGTAGTTTGATAAACCGCACCCCAAACACAAAGTCAGTACTTCACGATAGGGATCCGTTTGGGGCATCCTAGTCTTGGAACGCTACCCTGATGGGGATTTTGGGGTTGGTTTTTCGGGAGACGGTATTGCGCGTGTATGGAATCGTGAAGTGTGCCACATCCTGAGTGGTGGAGACTTCCCTCCATCATGTGGGGATGGCCTGAACACTGTCACTTTGCTAGTAGGTTCCCTCCAACCAGCAAAATTCAAAAATGGGGTTCCAATCGGAGGCCATGGCTCCATGAGGTCCACCCACACACACACACACACACACACAGACACACACACGCACACACACACACCGAGGTAACACGGACCCCCGCTATGAGCACTGCAAAGATTGCCCTCCTGTCCAAACAGGTCTATACAAGGTTCCATGTGTGATTGGGGAAGGGTATGCATTCTATTCACCCATTTCACGGCGGTGTAGGGGCATTTGTCATTTGTGACCCTCTTGAAGAGCTGTGACTCTAGTGCGTTTCCCTTTCCTGAGAGACGGTGTGTGCTATGCAGAAACAGGATCCAGAATTCCTGACCATTCATGGTGCTATCTCATGCTGCGTTCGAAAATGTACGCATGTCAAAGACGTGAAGGTTGTCTGGGGCTGCATAGACTGTAATAATGGGCTATATTGGGATAATGGAAAGGAAATGGAAACAACTATAATATAATCGGGTATATTGTATAATATGGTTAATCCAGTTTACCCTGTTTGAATATATTACTTTCCATTTTCTTGTCCATCATCCCTATATAACCCCAATAATATACCCCATATTCTATGTACGCAAGGGGGGCTATAATCCACCGATCCACTGCAAGGTGGGCCGCCCTCAGGTCCTGGCTTTGCATCCTCCAGGTCCATTTGATGCCGGGAAGTTCACTCAACCCGATCTAGTAAGAGATGGAGAGGGATTTGGGCAGTTGTCAGATGTCAAGGCTCTTTTGTAGTTAAAGTTATGAGTTGCTGTCTTTTGAGTCTCAAGAAGGGTTAATCAGTCGCAGAACTCAAGTTTTGGGGTGTGATCTTCTTCTTTCCACTTGCATGCGGCTGGCGCTGTGCGGAAGACTTCCTTTCCTGCTGCTACCTTTACTGAGCTTGCGGCGGGGCCTGTTCAAGAAGGGAATTCGATTTGTGCTAGCAGCTGCTAGGACACCACAACTCGTGCAAGCCTCTCAAAAAACAATTATTCTAGCCGGAAGTTCCCGATGATATGGCTTCTGATTAACCATCCTTGGCTCGATTTGGACCCGAATGTTCGTAGATTTCCTGGCTACGGAAGGGGTTCAGGGGTCTACAGCATTCAAGGCCATGCGTTGCAGAATGCCTGCATTGCTACTATTGAAGATCAACATGCAAAGGCATATCTCCGTGAAGGGTCGCGCAAGAAGCATGTGAGTGCGTTGCATGGCCATAGTTGCCCTCGCAAACGAAACAAGGCGCTGTCTGAACTCGTTTCGTTTCGTCATCTGGCGCGTTGCGATCATGATGAGCGCATTGAAAGAACATACATACAGTCTACCCCGGAACAGCCGGGATCCGCAAGCCCGCCAGAGGTCTTCAGCGCTTTTCCCCTGCTTGGCGCGGCCAAGCAGAGCACTCAACTTGCGATCTCAGAATCACGGCAGACTGCTTGGAAGGTTTATATGCAAGTTACTGTTCCGAATACTTTGATTGATCGAGCTTTTTAGGGGGGCTAGTCTGGTCAGCATGCTCATTCTGTCCCCTGACCCTCCATGCGCTGGCTTGTGAATTGAAAGGGCTTACAGGGATACAAATATGGAGCACAGTCGCACCTGACAACTGGCATATTGACTCTGCCACTTTGTTAATCCAAGACTTGAGCTGAGAAAAGCAGGGAAACAGATGCAGTTCAAGGATGTGAAGCTACTGGTGTACCTGCGAAACATTAAGCTCCTGATCGTAAGAACTCCAAAAATAGATGCCCAACACAGAAAGTCGAAGATGCAAGGGGCTGGAGTACCTTTCAACGGCTGAGGGGCGCAGACTACTACGCCATCCTGGGCGTTGCCAGGAATGCCGACCAGGCCACTCCTGAAGACCCCTAGGCTGCAAGAGATATGTGCTCTGATAGATCTCTGTGTGTGTGGGAAGTCTTTATAGCGCACTGTGGAGGGATGACACGATGTTAGGCTTCTTGCGCAGGCAGCCATCAAGAAGGCATACAGAGCCAAGTCCTTGGAGTACCATCCAGACAAGTGCTCCGATGACAAGGACAACCAGGGGATTGGGTGGTGCGCAGCAACAAGTCACTTAGTCCGGAGTCCGCTTCAAAACAGAGTTCAAAGGAACTAGGATAGAATTCTAAACTATGGGCTGTTCTCTGTGCCAGGGTACGAAGACCCACCGGATATTTTTGAGAGGAATCCCACATGCCTTGTGGACATCATGTCCCAGAAAACAGTTTCGCCAGACTGGGAAGCAGCGAGAGAGATGTACTGAGATCCTCTGGCACTTCCTTCAAGATATTCTAGAAGACCTTCTCCAAGGATTCGCTTTCGCAAGGCTTCAACATGACCCAACAGAATAGAGCGAAGCGAGATAGATCCTCAGCGATCGAGCTCGCTAGAACAATGTCAGTTTTGTGCTTTTATGGCAGGGGCTGGGGGCCCGCTGCAGTTTTTTAAACTGGCGTGTTTGGTGCAAGATTCGTTCCCAGGAGGAGTGCCAGACAAAGTTCATTGAGGTGTCGACAGCTTATGAGGCCATGCCTCAGGAGGTTTTTGCTTGCGGGAAGAGGTTACATATAGGGGATGGTCAACTAGTGAGGTTGTGTAAGCTAGCTCCGAAACGACAGCTTAGGATCCTCCCGAGGCTAGCTAATGCGAAGCTTGAGGGCTGCAGAGCTTGGGGAAAACTCTTTATGATATCGTCCAATATACTATAGTATACAATAATATATTATAGTATATCGAAATATACTATAAGATATTATAATATAGTATAATATACTATAAGGTAGTGTAATATGCTATTAGTTCTGCATGAATTTGCCCTCCAGTGTCCAGGTCCTTAGTGACGCCGAGAAGCGGAAGGCGCAGCCCAGGGCTCGCAAGACGCTGTGAATGACTGTCCCGTCATACAAGGGTTATATAGGGATAATGGAAAGTAAAGTGGAAACTACTATGTTATGTAGGGGTTATACCAGGGTTATATAGACCCAGGAAGTTGTCCAAGATGGAGGTCAATAACCCAGACGGAACCCGTGTTTTGTTTTTTGCTGTTTGGTCTTT